TAGGTACTTGTGTACGGAGTTTATGAGCTCCCATGCAATTTCATCCGGAATCGCTATTCTTTCGTGTGATTTTTCTCCTATTCGGATTATTTCATCGCGTAATTTGTAAATTGAATCTTCTTTGTTCAATTCCTCTTGTAGTTTTCGGTCGTTGTTTTGGGCTTCTTGGATCATTTGGATCCATTTTTCTGGATTTTCGTTTCTTTCGTAATCCAATATTGAGCAAATTTTGTACTCGTTGTCACGTCCGGCCGTATAAATTTTTTCGTTTTACTCCAAGTTCCTTAAACGCTATTTGAAAAGCGCGCCAAAGCCGGCCATGACGCTCAACTCCGCCTAGAAACTAAGCGTGGCGCTTCGTAGCGCTTAAGGATCTCCCACCACGGTGAGAGCCCCTACTCCGGAGAGTTCCCTTTCTCCAGGCCGCCGCAGGCCCGAGCCGCCGAAACGAAGGACCTCAGAGCAGTCCCGAATTTCGGCAGTTCTCTGCGCGACACCGAACAGTACAGTCGCACTTCTAAATTTTAACTCTAAGTCCAAATTCTAAATCCTAACTCTAATTTAAAAATTCTAACTCTAAGTATAATATCCTAACTCTAAAATCTAAATTCTAAGTCTAAGTCTAAATTTTAATTTAAGTTCTAGTTTTGAATTCTGTACTACTATACGAATAAACCAGTGTATTCATGTGTGAAAACCAGTGTTCAGTACTCTTCAAAACTTCCACTCCCGTGATAAAACACGATAGCGCTTAAATCTGTCATACGGCGTTTGAATTCAGAACAATTCAAAACTGTGTCTGGAGCGGACCACCGCTCATCACAGTTAGAATTAACATTCTCAGCAATTGCCAAAATAAGGAACTGATAGTGAGGTCCGCCGCATATCAACCTTCCTTATTTGAGTAATCATTCAGAGGATGCATCAAATTCAATATGCCTAAGACGCGACGCGCAGGAAGGAAGAATCAATTACGAAAACTAAACCGACTCTATCGTGAATCAGCGACCAAGGAATATTCTCAATTCCTCGGAGTGGAATATCAGGCCGATCCTGAATACGAGAACATTTTTAACATTAAAAATAATAAAACGACGAACTCTTACCGTGGAGGTGCATACCAATAACTTTCCGACCACGACGCCTGCCGCCGCCCAACATCCCAGTGAACGACCCTCGCCGCACGCTCTACCTCCAAGTACGAGCCGACACGATCAAGAAAGTGCTACTAAAGGTAAGTGAAATTCACGTTAACCTAAGGAATCGCGCGTGTTAGTAAATTCAGAGACGCTTCTACCACGTGGAAGAGAACATTCTAGAAAAATCTCCGACGCATTTTTCCTCTTTTCCATCGTCACTGCGGCTATAAAAGCTATAAAAAAAGGGTCGGGCTATAAAACTAGGGTCGACCACCACACACGGTGCAACCCTCGGAATTCTAACACGGAAAAACGCAAATAGTTCAATCTCTTAAAAAAATCTTTGTGTCTCAAGAAATAACTTCGTAAATCCGTACAACAAAGTAGTCATCTAAACAATAATCAATTGAGAACACTCTCGATTTACCGACAATATACCGACATACGTTCTTTTACCAACATTACCAACAATATACCGACATACGTTCTTTTACCGACGTTACCGACAATATATCGACATACGTTCTTTTACCGACGTTACCGACAATATACCGACATACGTTCTTTTACCGACGTTACCAACAATATACCGACGTACGTTCTTTTACCAACTAGTGATCGACACCTTACTGGTACCTTACCAGTGTCTTACTGAGCAATTACCGACGGTTTTACCGACGACTACTGACTTCTCGATTTCTGCCGGGTTCACCGAAGATCTACGAGCAAATGACGCATTATCAATTCGATTACGCAACAAGCACAAATGTGCCCACTCACCCTTAGAGGTATAACCCCTCCTCCAGAAGTTAATCTCTTTGTACCGTTTGAACCCTTATTCTATTGCCAAGTTGGTGTCGGGTACATCCATTTTGAGACTTTTTTTTTTTTTTTTTTTTTTGCGATCGGCGCAAGGCGGAGGAATGCATTGACGCATACCACAGTGGGGCCGTCCCCACCGGGTTATGTGGGACTCACCTATTCCCGGGGTACTAGTTACCCCGGTACTGGGGCACCTCGCCCCGGTTAGTTTCCCCACGTAATCGAGTCATCTCGATGACTCGACTGCCATAGGGATCCCAACCAAGGCAACAGCCTCAGCTAGTCCTACCCACTAAACCTCCGCCCGGGTCCTTAACACAGACCCCTTCTCCGTTTTATTGACATCGGAGGTACTGTTGTCCACATTACTTCCCCGATGCCAACCGGTTACGTCTTTTGACGTTTCCACCCTTCCATTCAAACCTCCATCCATCCACGACAACCTCGACTATCCCACCCCGAAGCCTACAACTTGCAACTTGCAACTTATTAAACCCCTTGGATTCATGCACGACGAGCCACCACCGAGATGTTGACCCTTCGAGCACCGAACCCTCTGTATAGCCCTATACCTTGTTTCTTTGACCCATCCCTTGAAACTTCTCTGCGGACAAAGAAAGAAAATAAAATGACAGAATAAGGGAAAAAGAAGAAAAGAGAGAGAGGAGGAAAGAGAGAAAGAAAGAGAAGAAAGAAAAAGGAGAGAAGGATAGAGAAAGAATTAGAAGATAAAAGAATTCCTGTTGAGAAGACCGCCTTGGACCTGCTACTTAGAGTGTACCTCTAAGTCCTCTCCATTGACCACCCAACTAGGTGTTGAGTGATCCCTCCCTACTAGAGTTGGGTGTTCCAATTAGCGCCTCGCGCGCCTGTCTCTCCCTCTCTCTATTCTCCTTCTCTCGCATCACGCTCCCAGCAAACTGGGACATCGCTTTCCAGGCCTTGTCGCTTGTGCAGATGGCCCGCACCACAGTCTCCATTCTGAGGTCTCTTCCAATGACCTCTGAAAGGGCGTCCCTTTCCGACAACCACGCGCCACACTCCTGCAACGTGTGTTCTGCCGAGTCCTCCCTATTCTCTCCGCAATGCTCGCATCTCGGAGAGTTCACCTTTCCTATTCGGAATAAATATGTGCCAAGCACCCGTGACCCGTAAGTAATTGGGTGATATGGAACGTAATTCCCCCATGGGTTCGATCTAGCCAGGTATTTAAATTAGGAAGGATCGCGTTCCTTGTCCGAGCACCCGCTAGCAGTGGTCGCTGCAGGTGGATGTTCCATTGTCGTCTCGTTAAGAGAGCTTCCGACTCTCGGATCTCCCTCACAGACTCCTCTGACGCCTCCTCATTCTTCTTCAGGTCTCCCGTTCTGAGGTAGACCCTCTTCCTCATAGCTGCAAGCAGGTGCAACGGTGGAATCCTCGCCAACATGGATGACGCCTCCAGGGATACGGTCCTGTAGGCTGAGATTACTCTCAGGTTTGTGACCCTCATAATCCTATCCACCTTCTCTCTGTTCCTCCTGGATGAGGTTAAAGAGTCGCACCATACTGGTGCCGCGTACAAAACTATCGAGAGGATGACATTTGCGTACAGTTTCCTCTTCGTCTCCCTTGGGCCCCTCAGATTTGGCATTAGTCTTCCTAACGAGCGTGCTACTTTGGAGACCTTTGCTTCGACATATTCAAAATGGTCCTTGAATGCCAACTTATCGTCTAGCATTACCCCTAGGTATTTCATAGAGGTCCTCGTCTGTATAGCCTTTCCTCCGATATTCAACATTGGAAGTTGCTCGGGTCTTTTCTTACAGAAGAGAACTGCCTCCGTTTTCTGCACCGCGACTGTCAGGCCAAGTCTCCTTATTCGATTAAGGACCAACCCGGTCTGCAAATTCGCCCTTGCTGTGGCGGCCACAACCGAGTCTGCTGTTGCGAGAATCAAGGTGTCGTCTGCGTAACAGAAGATCTCGCATCCATTTATCGTACCCTCTTGAAGAACACAGTCGTACCCAATGTTCCAGAGTGTTGGCCCCAGAACGGAACTTTGCGGAATCCCCGCCAACATCCTCTTCGCCACTAGGTTACCCTCGCCATCAATGTACTCCACTGATCTATCGAACAAGTAGCTGTCGATGATTCTGCGTAAGTACTCTGGGAAGCCCTTACGTTGGAGGGTCTCTCTGATCGTTTTCCACGGCAATGAGTTAAAAGCATTGCGAATGTCAATGCTAACTGCAATTACCGCTTCTCCATCATTTATGGCCTCCATTATGGTTGACTGTACTTGCATCAGTGCGTCGCAAGTGCTTCTACCTTCGCGGAACCCGAATTGATTCTCCGCGAGACCAAAGTCCGGGTTCTCATTCATCCAAGTGTTGATCCTTTGTACCAAGATCTTCTCTAGCACTTTGCCTATCTCATTGAGGAGACATATAGGCCTGACCTTGGGTAGCTCTTCATCGCCACTACCTGCTTTGGGGATTAGGACCAACATGGCTCTTTTCCATTCCTTTGGAAAGGTTCCCTCTTTGAGACACTGGTTAAAACATGCCGTAAGATGCACCAACATATCCTTGGGTAATTTCCCAAGGATCCCTGATTTAATTCCGTCTGGGCCTGGAGCTGTGTTGTTCTTCGACTTGATCTCGACAACCCTTGCAACCTCGTGATACGTAGTGGCCCACTCCTCGTTCCATTGCCAACCGTGCCACAACAGTTTTGGATCCGTCTCTCTTCCATACGGGAATAATGCCTCCAACAATAGATCCAAGACGTCCTTGTCTAGCGTTTCCGTTAGGCTTGGTGTAGACGTTCGGAGCTTCCTCAAGACTATTTTATATGGCATGCCCCATGGGTCTGCCTCAATTGTGTCGAGTAACTCCTGCCATGCCACATGTTTAGCCTTGTTGATCTCCACCCTCAGCTTTCGCCTTGCATCTCTATGTTTAGCCCAGAGTTGTTCCACCCGCTCCCTAGACTCATGCCTTCTCTTCGCGCGGGTCCAAGCCCGTCGCGTGCTTATCGAGATCTTCCGGAGTCTGTCTATGTCCGCTTTCCACCAATAGGCCTGCTTTTTCTTGGGTCTCCCTCTGATTCTGTTGGTGGCCGCGTCACTCGCACATCACGGATGACCCCATTTATCCACTGGGCCATCTCGTCAGCCGAGCGTTTTTCTCCTGGTGGGTTCGCGCAATGCCAGTCGATTGCAGCATGGAACATGTCTTCGTCCAGTTTGTTCCAGTTCCATCGTGGATATCTGAAGCGATTCTTCCTGGGTTTGGTTCTATTAGCAGAGACTCGGCCCACCTTCATTGCGATATAATCGTGATCCGAGAGCGACTCAACACTGCTTAGGACCTTCCACTCGTTTATACAGCCGTTGATATCTCCCGTGGCCCACGTAAGATCTATAATTGACCACCCTTGTGGTCGTATACAAGTGGGCACAGAGCCCACGTTGATCAGTCGGAGATCATGTTCCGCTGCCCATTCACCGACCCATTCGCCTCTTCTATCTGTACGGGGCGAGCCCCACTGAGTCGACTTTGAGTTGAAGTCGCCGCAGATAAGCGTTCTTCCATCCAAGAATCTTATGGCTACTCCTAGCTCTTCCAGGAATGTTAAGAAGCTTTCGTTATTGCAGTTTGGTGAGATGTAACATGCAATAACGTTTATCCCACCATGCTTGGCCACGACAAAGTCCTGTGCTCTGTACACTTGAGAGCATACTTGGGCCGCGTTTGTTGGTCTCCAGTGGATCGCTGCTAGTCCATTGTTGCTTCCGAACCAGTATGTACTCTCCGGGATATTTCTCGGTTCCGAGATAGCGCATATGGAAATATCCAACTCGATCATGTGCTGGTCTAGTAACTGTTGGGCTTGCCAGCTACGCGCCAGGTTGCACTGCAGGAGATTGTACATTTGTCTCTAATGTCTCTTCGGGCCTCCGTCCCGCATCCTCCGTATCCATGGCTTCTTGAGGTGGCTGTGGTCGTGCCGCTCCAGTTGTAGCTCTGAAGTCTGCTTTGCACATCCTCGTACCGATTCTGTGATTGGAATCTTTTCCCTGCTCTGCACATAGAATGCATCGAACCGGGTTCGTGCATGTGAGGGCAGGGTGTCCTTCCGCTCCGCATCTATAACACGTTCGACTTCTATCCACGGTCGATGTGCATTTGACTCGCAGGTGCCCATGTCCCCAACACTTAAAACATTGGGTGGGCCTGGCCTTCAAGATCTCGATGCGTGCCACCGTCCATCCTATTTTGATCTTGCCGCTTGAGGAGGCCTTGTTTGCGGCTCCCAAAGGACATTGAGCCCAGACCGTGAACAGTCCATTGGTCATCGGTCGTATGACTCCCACTTTGACCTCACTTGGCTTACATCCGCCTGCAGTTGCAATCACATCCGCCACTTCGTCGGTTCCCACCGAATCATCTATGCCGATCAGACGAACATCTCCCTTTATAACCGGTCTTGTGACCTTGGCTTCGTCCCCCAAAATACTGCAGACTTTCTCCCTGAGTAGTTCAGCTTTCGTGGCCTTGTCTTTTCCCGGCACTTCGATCAACAGTCCGCCGCTTACCGCATGCCTGATTGTTGTCTTTTCAATCTCTAGTTCTGGGAGCTTGATTCCGTCCCTGAGTTTCTTAAGCGCTGCCGAGTACGAGAAACCTTCCGCAACACCTTTGATTGCCACCGCCGCTGTTCGGGGTGGTCTCCTCCTCTTCGGTACAGGGTTTGTTCTGTTCTCCGTCTTCTTGCTGATAGCATTGTCAGAGTTAGCCTTTCGTTGCTGTTGCTGCTGCTGCTGCTGCTGCGGTCGTTGGTGCTGCTGCTGTTGATTGGCTTTCTTCTTCTGTTGCTTCTTCTGTTTCTTGCTCGTAACTGCTGTCCACTCCATACGCTCGTCGTCCTTTGATTGGATGGCAGGACGCGGGAGAGGTGGGAACTCCGTTGTAGCCAAGGAAGGGGCGACTTGCACATTGCCAGTCACTCAAGGTTTTTCTCGGGATAGACTCGGTGCCTGGGATGTGCTTGCTTTGCCCTTGGATGCGTCCCTAAGTTCGCGTCTTCTCCTTGTGAGTTCTACTATCTGCCTCGACAATTCGGCGTCCAGCTTATGATCCAGCTCCGCCGTTTCTCGCGGTCTAGTTTTCTCAACTGCCGGAATTGGCTTTGAGATACCCTGAAGTGGTGGACGCATGACTACATCCTCCATATTGTCTGTCATCTCGATACTTGAAGCAATTGTGACGTTTTTAATGTTGTTTTTGCTTCTATTCTTTTTCTGCTCGGGTTCTTTTTTGAGCCCGCCTTGACTCTAGTTTCCTCATCCTTCCTAGATCTAGACTTGGACCTCGAGGCTTCTCTTGGTGTAGCATCCATCGGAGAGGTTGCCTTGTCAGTGCGTTGGACATCAAAAGTTAACGCATTGGTCAGGTCCTGTACCTTCCTTTTAAGGTCTTCGATGTCCCTTTTCATCTTCGCCGATTCTTGCCTGGTAGCCGTGAGTTCCGAAAGGAGTTCTGCGTTGCGTCTTCTAAGGTATGCAGGATCTCCTGTATCCTCTAACCTTTCAGTAAGGAGTTTCACTGTCTCCTTAACTACTTCGACTCTTTTGCGGATCTGCCCGCTAAGCGCGCCTTGGTAGCTGCTTCTTACACGAATAGTGTCTATATCTTCTAACCATTCTACCGCAGCGACACTAGCATCATTCACGGTCATTAGGCCAAGCTCTTCAGTCGTATGTAATGGCCGGAGTAGCTGATCGATAGTTGGCTCATCAGGCCGACGTCTGCGGATTACCTTCTTCGGGGGTCTCTTGATATTTGGTTTGAGTTCCGCCTCCGAGCAAGGCTGGCTCGGTTGGTCCGAGTCAGTCATTAACAATGTCTGGTCCGAGTCAGTCGTTACCAGTGTCTGGGGTTGATTTCCCACATTTCCTAAGCCCTGGGATCTTGTTTTCCTGGCGAGAGTTTCTTTATTGTTCGTCGGAATACATTTCGCTTTGCTTGTGTGCGACCTGCGTCTTCTTTGCGGCGTAGGGTTATCCTCCTCTGTGCTGTTATCCTCTTCTTTCCTCTCGCGTTTCCCCAACAGGACAGTTGAGAAATCTATCATGCTGCCGGATGTAGATGCCACTGTTGGTGTCCCCATCGACCTTGGTTCGATAGGTTTGAGCGATCCATCTAGTAGCGCGTGTAATACGTTAACTTCGGGTTGGGTGGTGTCCCATCCCGTTCCTTCTTTAGACCACGAAAATAGACCAGCCTGGCTATCCTCATCAGCCTGTGCTTGAGTGGCTGCTATTGTCTCATTATTCGCGGCCAAGACCGTCCTATCAGGCGACGGGCTAACCTCCCACTCCTCTATAATAGCTGCGGCAATATTCTGGCTATTTTGGGCGATGGTCTGTTCAGCTATTTCTCGTCCAATTTGCTCCGCCAATGGGTTTAACGCTGTTTCACCGTACCTCTCATCAAATGCCCGGTGGAACCCTTGGCTTGGCGATGCAACCCTTTCGAGTTCCTCACCCGATTCTTCGCCCTGCGACACTTCTTCGTGTCTCTCCGCATTTAATGCCGTGAGAACCCCCTTCATATTGCTTTCTTCAGTATTTATGTTTTGTCTATCCATTTCAATTGATCCCATGTTTTACAAAGGCTCCGCTGGCCGGCGCATCTCCCACCCACCGAGGGACGACCCGAAACGTGACCGGCATCGCCCCCCGACGGGGCTCACGGTACTCCGGGAGAGCCAGCATATACCGCTGGGCGGGGGGAATTCCGCACCCCCGTCACTGGGTTCCGTCCCCTTACAAGCAAAGCCTTCAGGGGTCTCTCGCCTCCGACAACGAGAGCACCTTTGTAAATGGCGCCACCCAGAAGGCCCCACGGACGGTTGGGGTGAGGACGCCGCTCCCCGTCCACACCTTGCCCGCCGTGGCGACCAGCACGTCCCCCCACCGGGATGTCCGGTGGAAGAGACATCACCTCTCCCGGTCGGCCGGTTCGGAACGGGAAACGGTCCCGACCGGCCGGGAGTATCTACTCTCGTCGCCGAGCCCCGCCCCGGAATAAGTCCGGGCGGCCTCGACGGCAGGCCCGCGCAGCACCCTCCGGGCAGTGCCCCTTGGGTGATTGCGCGTGGCTCCGCACCCGACCCGAGCTCGGAATATGTCCGAGTGGCCCGGGTGCGGGAACCATCCAGAGACGCTGGGACGGAGACCCAGGCTACCCAGCCTGGGGACTCCCGACCAGCACTCTGGATCATCCTTGTCTCCGGGCTCCGCCTCGGAATATGTCCGAGCGGCCCCGGAGACCAACCGACACAGCCCCCTCCGGGCAAAGCCCCTTGGGACAACCCTCCGGGCAAAGCCCCTCGGGTGACTGTGTCGGTTCCTCCGCCGGCGTGACCCCCTCCGGGCGATGCCCCTCGGGAAACCCTCCGGGCAAAGCCCCTCGGGTGATCACGCGCGGCTCACACACCTCCCCACCCCGGCGGCCCCCACCGCCAAAGAAACCCACCCCAGACACCGGGGAGACTCCCCAGGAAACCCCAGAAAAAATCCCCCCCGGAACAGAAGGCGAGAACCCCGGGCGGCAGAAGCCGCCTACCCGGTAGGCTTACCGGGCCACAGAGCATGGCGGGAGGGGAAGCGCCGAAGCGCCGTGCAATCCCCTCTCCTAACGGTGCCATGCCACCGGGCGTTTGAATTCCGGGTCGCCATCCCTTACCACATACGAGCCGAAGCTCTAACGGGGAAGTGGGCCCCGTCTCTCCGGGGGTGGAATTCTTCCACCGCCCGAAGAGAGCCCCCATAAGCGGAGGGCGTGCCCCCCAGGCCGGGAGCAGTGTACCTCGTAAAGTACTGGTTGCTGTTAGCACCCCTTGCAAGACTATCCTCTTGCAAAGGGTGAGCCCCTTCGCCACGGCAAGGCCGCGACCCACGAAGGGAATCCATTTGAGACTAAGGCAGCTCTCTGCATTTCATGCTACTCCACCTTACCTAGAGTCTCGAAACTACTTTGGACAAAGATTCGGAAGCATACTTTAATCATAGGCGGAACACCCATTGGAATAAATTGCGGGGCCTGCAACTTCCGACTTACCCTCACGCGAATTGGTGATTTGTGCGAGCTTTGCCAGTCTACGTACGAAGATTACTTACGCAACCCCAACGACGTTTCGCATAGAGCAATCGACGAAGCTATCTTTATTACAGTAGAGTCACAGGTAGGTCCCACGCAATAATCCGATCACCTCAGTTCCAGCGCGAATAACCTCAGATCGCGGGTATCCCCGGGGAGAATCGCATAGATTCGCGTACCCGTAATAGCGATCGTGTCTCGTGGAAAAAGCCGAGCTCTGCATTCAAATTTTCGCAGCCGCGACCCCACGAGACGTAACAAAATTTGGTGACAGCGGTGGGATACGAGTTAATATTTGCGATGGAAACACGAGGGAAGTCAGGTACGAAAAAGCTCACTGAAGTAGAAATAGACGAACTTCGCGCTCAATTGCATGCCAAGGAAGCACGGTTACGCGAACAATCCGAGATGCTTAACAGCAGAAAGAAACGTTCGAACGCGAAAAACGGGCTTCGGAAGAAGACCTCGAAATCATCCGCAGTAACCTCGTGAGTAAGGAAACGGAAGTGGAAAAACGTTTGAACTCCATCACAATGGTAGCAACCGAAAAACCCGACTTAAGCGATCATATGATCCAAGAAATTGAACGACTACGCCAGGAGATAAACTCCATGCGCGGGAACAATACGATACCTACGCAATATATTCCCAGCACCGCGGGACGCTTTTTCGACGAACAGGCGTCTCCCGCATTCCAACACGGAACCAATTATGATAGTCCAAGGGTGTCTTTCAGGGAAGCACTTGAGACTATCCCGCCATTCGACGGTCGAAATATCCCCCTCTCTCAATTCATACGAGCATGTAGACGCGCTAAAGAAATATTCCCACCATCGTCCGAGCGAAACCTAACCCGCCTACTTCTTACTAAGTTACGCGGGCGAGCTATATGCGCCGTAGAAGACGAAGAGTGCGAAACGATAACTCAACTTGCCGACCTCCTGAATGGAGCCTTCGGATCCCCGAAAACCATCGATCAGTATCGCGGGGAGCTGAGCACAATTTACCTTAAACCAAACGAGCATATCCTTGATTTCATAAGCCGCGTAAAAGACTTGCGATCTTCTATAACGGACGCGGAACGCCGAGCGCAAGGAATGCTATCCGTCGGATCAGTAAACGAAATCGACGCCTTAACAGCACGATCTTTCTGCGAGGGCTTGCCACTCGCCTATAGGATACAATTGAGACAAGAACACTATCGCGACCCGTTTCTAGCTTTTTCACACGTCAAAATTCTCGCGAAAAGATCGGAACTAGACAACGAAAGATTCGAAACTCCGCGCCGTTCATACGAACGTAATGTATACTTGAACGAAAAGTCTTTAGCCCACTCGACGCCCATAAAAATAAACACGAAACGATCTTTTAACAACAGATGGACTCGAGCCGAGTACTCGCCGCGCGTCGAACAAGCACGGTACAGTAACGCGCCGTTTCCAAAAGCCTATAATAGTACACAGTCACAGAGACCGACAAACACTTACAGAACGAAAGACGCCAACCGAGAGGGTCCCGAGAACAATAGACACGAACGAACCAGTAACAACAAATACTGTAGGTACTGTAAAAATCCGGGACACGAAATAGAGGAGTGCCGGAAAAGACAATACAATAACTCACGTCAGGGAAACTCCCCTCACCCCTCGAGGCCCAGGGACGAAACTCGAGCGGGAACGTCTCGGGAAACAGATCGTCCAATACGACTAATAAACGCGGAGCAAGCTGTTACGTCCAATAATTCATCTGG